CCTAATATATTCCTTTGCTAGCCTTTTCAAATACAATCCAATAGGTGTGTTTCTACATATATTGTAATGCAAAAAAGGTTCTACATATAGTATTTTAAGTATCAGTAATATAGTTTGCAGAAGTAACATGATTTGCTAAAAACAAATCTCCAATTCCTAACAAAATTTTTAGATCATTTTTTTCTAGAATTTTTCTGATTTTAAAAAAATATCATAATCTAAGCTAATTCATGAAGATAGTACCCTTAAATACAGATATAAATAAAAACTATTAATAACATTCAGAATTAGTTGCAGTTGTGTGTAATGTTAATATTTCCTCAGTATCCCACGGTGGAAGAAACTAAAAAATGAACTTAGAGTGCATAGCATGAAATTATGCAAGAGTTCCAATAAATATCATACTACAGTGTTAACAATTAGCAGGAAAATAACAGAATGACAAGTGACGCAACAAGTCTTCCTAATCAAGTGGGCAGGTTGCTAACCAGATTGTTAATTAGTGCCACCTTATACCTAGGCACCCATTCATGTAAGATTCTTCACAGGATTCGGCACTGCATAATCCTATTGAAGCTGTGAAAAGCAACAGGTGTTGAGTTTGGGTATGGTTGGCATATTAATTAGATCTGAGCAAAAAAACTTTAAAAAACACAGCTGTTAATATTTCAGTCCAAATAAACTCTGGTAATAGTGCTGAAGCTGTATGTAAAGATAATTTATCATTAACCAATTCAAAATCCATATGGCAGCAGAAACTACTTTTTGTAACTCAGTGTTTTTTCTTAAAAACTGAAGAAGCCTATTAGCATCTTCTTTGGGCACTGGCTGACAAAGGCTGGCTAACATTTTAGCAGCAATGCTGTTATATATCACAGTATCCATACTGAAATATTTGGATATCGGAGATTCTCAGCCATCAGTGGCTGTCTTTAGAACATGCTTCAGTTTCTTACATGGCCAGTAGAAAGTAGCTTGCTATGAATACAGGACCAGTAAAAGGGATGTGATAGAAAAGATTTTTTTCTTAATTTTTAAATTTAAACTAGCAATAGTAAGGTTTATTTATACATACAGCATCCCATCCTAAGTACTAAAAAACCTTCCCCAGATACTGAGTGCAGAGGGAAGGTGCGTTTGACCTGATTTTAAATGCTATGGGATAAACAGCCTAGAACTCAAAATACAAGGATTGTAAGTCTCCTCAGTGCCTGGTGAGTCATGAAACCTCTGCTGATGTTACCCACAGAGTTAGGAATCTTGAACGAAAAATGAGCATTTAAACAGAATGGCTTTTAAAATTGAGATAAAAATGAAAGTGCCAGGGACAAATGCAGAAGTAGGGGAACAGTTTAAATGTATAAAAAGAGAAAGGAACAAGGAAGCAGAAAAGCAAAGAACAGAATGCCATGGTCAGAGGCTCAAGGAAAAGAGGAATAATTATAGGGAACAGGAAGTAATCAAGAAAAAAAGTAGGACAAAGAACATCCTAGGCAGAGAAAGGAGGTAATCACAATAAAAATATAAGGATTTCTTTGGATCAATAGAGAAGAAGAAACTGGCCTTACCTGTGTGAGCTGGAAGGTGTGTGACAACATTGTCCAGGGTAGGAGAATATGAAATAAGCTGAGATGCAGGAGAAGGGAAGGTAGGTTGGCAGTGTGTCCCTTCTGTCAGCAGGAAACATGGATGGGAGCCCTGGTTTCTGTGTCTATGTTTTGTGTACATTTTCCACCTGAAGCACACTCACACGTAAATGAAGGCAGCTTTTCCTGTTAAGAACTTGAAAATCAGGAATCAGGCTAAAAAAAAAAAAAAAAAAAAAAGGCAGGGAAAAAAGCCAATGCTGATTTTTCTTTTCTTTGTCTGTCTCATGATGCCTGAGCAGTAGGATTTGGTGATATTACTAAAGTATTGCAAATCATATAATATTTGTTAAAACCCTTGGTATCCATCTAATTCACATTTCATTCATGTTTGTGTTGACATTTTGCATACTTCCTTTATGCCTAATAGTGAACCATTTTAAGCTTAAGCAGTACTTATAAGTCTGTGTGTTATGAAAAAAGATGCACAGTTTCCCATATTCTTTTCAATAAGGCCCACAATATGAAAAGCCTCAATCAAGAAACTCTGTACATTTAGTAATAGCTTAATCTTCTCTCTCCATGTACTTTAGAAGAAGGCAGATAGAGATGACTTACCAAATTCTATGTGGGAGTCAGCTAGCTAGAATGAAACACAAAAAGGAAAACTCTGAGATCGTTGTATTTTGCTGCACACAGCCAAAAGAAAGGGACCTGGGACTACTGCACTGCTGTTTGGCACGAGACTACAACACGCGGTAGTGGTGTTCTGTAGTACCACTGCTAACTGGAGTGGCACTGAAATATCCTTATGTTTTCCAACTGCCTGGGATGCTGAAAAGCACAAAGCATTGTAGTGCCTGGAGTAAAATCCTGCTCGTGACTGGTCGCCTGTGGGGTTCTGCAGGGCCCCATCTTAGGCCATGTGCTCTTTAACATTGTTGTAAACAACTTCTATGCAGGGCTCAAAGGGACGCTAAATAAGTTTGCAGATAATACAAAACTGAGAACTGTTGGTTATCTCAAAGGCAGGGATGCCCTGCAGAGACACGTCAACAAATTAGAGAGATGGACAATCATCAGCCTTATGAATTTTAACAAGGGCAAGTTCTGGATTCTGCACCTGGGATGGGGCGACCCTGGTTGTGTGTATAGACCGAGGAACGATGGAGAGCAGCCCTGTGGAAAGGGACCTGGGGGTCCTGGTCGATGGCAAGTTGAATATGAGTCATTAGTGCCCTGGCAGCCAGGAGGGCCAACCATGTCCTGGGGGGCATCAGGCAAAGCATCGCCAGCCAGTCAAGAGAGGGGATTGTCCCGCTCTGCTCTGCGCTGTGGTGGCCTCACCTTAAATATTGTGTGCAGTCTGGAACACCACAATATGTAAAAAGACATTAAGCTCTTAGAGAGTGTCCAAAGGAGGACAATGAAGATGGTGAAGGGCCTCAAGGAGAAACTGTATGAGGAGCATCTGAGGGCACTTGGTCTGTTCAGCCAGCAGAAGAGGAGTCTGAGGGGAGACCAGTCACAGTCTACAACTTCCTCAGAAGGGGTAGGCACTGTTTTGACTAGTGACAGGACCCAAGGAAATGGCCTGAAGTTGTGTCAGGGGAGGTTTAGATTAGCTACTTCACCCAAAAGGTGGTTGGGCACTGGAACAGGCTCCCCAGGGAGGTGGTCACAGTACCAAGCCTGATGGAGTTCAAAAAGCTTTTGGACAATACTCTCAGGCATATGGTGAGATTGTTAGGCCTGTCCTGTGCAGGGCTAGGAGTTGGACTTTGATGATCCTTGTGGGTCCATTACAGCTCAGGAAATTCTGTGATTTTGTGGTATATTTATAGTACAAATTTTGCAAGCTTTTAAAATACAAGGTGTTTTCTCTCTTCTGCGTTTAACCACAAGTAGAGGCAAAGAAAAGGAAGATAAAATAGTGAGAGTCCTAATCTAGGAAAGTACAAAAAATTCATTAATTTAGCTTTAGCAGTTTGGTTTTATATCCAGGATTAATGGACATCTGCCACAAATTGTTCTCTGTTCACGCCTTCCTTTCAAATGTTAGAATGGGATAAAATGTTTTCCTCTCACAAGATAGATCCATTCCTATTCATGGGAATCTGAGATACCATTGTGATGAATGCCATGAGAAACTAATAATTCTGGGTGCAGCATAAGCTTGGGAAGATTTGCACTAAATAAAGGAGTGGCCAGAAACTGAATGAGCAGGGCTGAACAACTGCCCTTTCTGTTAGCTCTCATCATGCACTAAATGAGGCAGGGATCCTGTGGAAAAAAGTACTGAGCCATCATGTAATTATAGACTGGGCACGCAGTTAATGATGAATCCACAGAAGGAGTCAGAACTGAGGCTGTGCAAATACAAGCATGTTTATTGCCTCTCCTACCATTTGAGTTCTTCACACTACATGCAAAAGCTTTTCCATGTAGGATGGTCTGGGGCTGCTGAACAGAAGTCATAAGGGTACCCTTTCATGGGTCCGTTAGTCTCCTCAGAAGTTGTCTTATTTGACATAATATATACTCAAACACACTGAGGCACACATGCATATGCACACGTGCTTACACCTGTGTTTGTTATAAAATAATGTAGTGGTAAGGGGTAATCTAAATCATACGGAGAATCTATGTTCCTCCACTGAATTTCCTCCCCCTTACTAAAGTACTGATCTTTACAGCTGAGACAGATTATGCAAAAGGATCACACATAGAGGAAGGTTTTGTTACTGCTGTAGGAGGAGTAGCCAGGGGATCTGCAATTATGTGGGTTGAGAATATAAACCTCTTACACAGGAACGTGCAGGAGATCAGCTGCATTCCTGCAATCCAGAGCCTGCGGTAACAGCAGAGAAACGCTATAAAGCTACTGAATTAGAGAAGTCTTTTTTGCTTTCTCAGTTTTGGTTTTGCTTAACCTGTTTACTGGGACAGCATAGAGATACAACACCAGCTCTGTTTACCTTAACTGGGGTGTTCATGCTGAAGCCTAATTTTTATGTCAATATTTTGATGTTTTCACTGCTGAATGTTTTAGCAGGCACAGCCAAATACTCCAGAATGATAGACTGAATTTGGAGAAGGAAAAATATCACATGAACAGCTTTCCTTTTCTTTCTTTATGACTTTTAAAAGAAAATAGAATGAATTACAGATGGGAAACCCTTAGAATATAGACTACCCAAGTATAGATTTTCCTATCTGACAGATTTTCTGCTTACATTTCACTTTCTGGGTAGCAATTATTGACAAATACCATGTTGTATTCGTGCTGCCTTTACAACAATAAGAATGTTGATTTTCATTCTGTTAGCTGCTCAGTGGTAATTTTCAGAAGTTATTGTGCAGCTACTGTTGTTCTACTTGACAGAAGATTGTGTACACACATTTCTTGTCAGAAAGTATGCTTTTATTCAAAAGAATTTCAGAAGAGAGAAAAAAATGCATCCAGTGAATGGCATTGGTAAAATAAAAGAAAAAACTTACCACTAGTTTTTTATGCCTAGATGCTGGTTAAATAGCAAATATAAAGGGAGAAACTCAAGTTTGTGTACAGCTTTTCAGTATTTTATCAGTAATTTTAAATACAGTAAAAAAGCAGTTTTTAGGCTATTATCTCCACAGTTGTTTGGTTTTTTTTTAATATCCCCATATCCCTCCTCTGAGATGTATTCAAATTGTATTTGATTGTATTTAAAACATCAATAAAGGGAATTTTAATGGCTCAGATGAATAGCAATGTAATGTAGTTTAAAGCAATGGAGGACAAAAGGCTGAACTCCTAAGAAAAGTTAATTCTACATTTACAGGGGTGTAACCAATTAATTTGTAATTGAGCTTCCACAAGTAGGAGTCCAAACTAGAGGTGATCTTCAAGTCATTAGTTGAACAGAATCATGCATCTGAGTCGTTATCATAGATGTCTGAAATGGAAAAAAAATGCAAAAAATATTAGTATTGTGTACTTTGACTCAAGGAGAAAGTTATTAATTGTAATTGAATGTAGCTACTGTATTGTTTGAAATGTTCAACATACCCTCAGCAACATTGTCATAAATCTCTCCTTCGCTGTAAGTTAAAAAAAAGAAAAACCATACATTTAAAAATCGAGACATCAGATATAAATTACTGTTTGCATGCAGATATGAAATAGAGTAGTAGTATGATACAGACAAGCTATCAAGTAATTAATTTGCTAATTATGAAAGTGCAACCTTTGTGGTGATAGAACAGTGTTTAGCAGGATGGTCAGATTAGAGGATTTTCAGCAAAGGGTTGACCTGGATACATTTCTTTTTAATATGAAAGGCTGTTTTTTTTAAAAGGGTGGGATTTTTCAATTAAATTTTTAAGCAGCTATTCTCATAGAGGTATTTCCTTAAAAAATGAAGTACTTCCTTGGTTTTTCGAAATGAACACCAGAAATAAAGAATAAAAAAAAATGGTATGCCCTTGAAATTCTTTTTGTTTCTGTACTTGGCAATTCCATAATATTGGAGGTGCTTCTTTTTAGGTAATGAATTTATGTAATGTCTATAAAAGATACATGCTTCATGAACAGGAATTTTCAAAATATTTCACTTAGATATGTGAAGAAGCCCATGGAAGACAATAAGGCTTTGTATATATATATATAAACACATATATATTTATATATATATGTTAAAAATTCAAATGTGTGTGTAAGTATTTGGATGCCTCTACATTCTAAATGTGACAATTATAAATGGGACATCTGATTTGATGTTTAAGAGTCTCATATAGAGCTTGTTGAAGGAAATGGAAAGGCTTTGTCTGACAAGAGTTTTGGAGTAGAACCGAAATACTGAACTCCATGCAATTATTCGGAGCAACACTGGGCCAAATCTGCTCAATCCTCATAAGACTGAAATAAAATTAAACCTAAAGAAAATTTGATTGATTTTAGTTAAACATTTGAAAAGGACATCAATACACCTAATCACATTAACTTGCAGTTCATTAATAGATTCTAGTACTAATAATGCTTAATTTATGTAATTTTTCATGGTTTAATCAGAGTTTATGGTTATACAATAAGGAAAGAGGCCCTGGCAAATTTCCAGTGTGGATGCATGTGATTAATTCTTGAGAAATTATAACTTCATAAAAATAACTTAATTTTCCACACTAGAATGACAGACTAAAATAATTATATTTCATTTTTTTTTAACAGAGAGTTTAGAAAAAAATTGACTGTTATAACAATTTTTTCAAAAAAATCACTTTGTACTTACTTTTGAACTAAATTGCTTCTCGAGACATAGCCATCTGTAAAAGTAAAATATATATGCATTTAAGTTAAATTTAAATACTTATTACTTCTGTTGCTAGCACTAGTGAAATGCCTTATTTCTCTTTTATATACTTCAGACAGAAACACATAATAGATGGATAACAATGTAAAATGAACACATACTTGATGAAGCTTTTACTATATCCAGTGTTTTAGTTATTCTTATTTGCCTGTTTAGTATAACACGGTGTCTTAGACAGGAAATCAGAATACAGTAGTAGCTGTGAGACCAGTTAGGTATCTACTGTTCTGGGTACTTTACATATTCATAAAATGTTGTTTATCTTGTTTCCTCCTTCACAATAATTTTTCTTTTCTGATACACAAGACATGAAAGTATTTTTTCTTTTTTTTTTAAATACACGGTGATGTCCAGCTAAAGAATCTCATATTTTTTTTTAGGCTTTTTTACGTCCAAGCCCTAATTCTATTGTATCTGAAATTGTCCTTTCTAAGATCTGTAAATATACTAGTAGGGAGAACCATGCCTTGTAAATGCATGTCAGATACAATAAGCTAGAACTGTTCCCAAAAGCTGATAAATTATTAGAGTCTTTAGCTGGCAAGTGTTTTAATACATAAAAATATCCTATGCTTCCTATATGGAAAATTGGAAAAGCTATCAAAAAAGACTAATACCCCAAATAATCCTGCAAGTAGTAATGAAAAACTTTTATTTAACAACAGTTTTTTGTTTGTGAGTTTTTTTAAGGCAAGCTCCTCTTAGAACACAATAATAAGCAGCTTTTCTTCATAAACAAACATTTGTATAATTCACTTTAACTTGGCATATTTTCATCTTAAAATAGATCGATATCAGATGTTATATAAATCTCAAAGTACATAAGGGGTTTTTTTCTAGAATATGCTATATATAGTGGATTAGTTATTTGATCTGTAAAGGCCATAATACATTTACAAACATGGGATTTTAAAAGAAAACTTCTGTCTTGTGCTAGAGCTGAAGTTGCCTAAAAAGGCATTAATTTTGCGTGATAATATTTTATTTTACACTTACCTACATTAGCTACTGTTTAAGACTTAACAATTACATGAATTAAAAAACAGTTCTGTGCTTTTAATATTTGATTGCTGCCATATAAGATAAAATTTGCTTGATTTGCCTGTATTTCTATCTTTGGTGTCATGAAGATTTGATACATACATAAATTCTTTTATAACATTTGCCTACGAAAGCTGTTGAGCTGCAAGTAATCTTCAAAAGTCAAAGAATCCAGTGTTCCAGATTTTCAGTCACCTGCATATTGTCTCAGGCTGAATGCCAGCTGGAACCCATTGAGGAAGCTCTGTCTAATCAGGATTTTTTTAGCCTGGTTGTCCTTCCCCAGATTTTATTATCTGGGATAAAGTAATGGAAATGAATTAATTTTTATTTTTTTTTTTTTAAAGATGTCGTCTTTTTAAAGTTCTCTTTAGGACAGTCCAATAGTTTCCATTACTTCTGAAGTCTCCAGGGAATAATTTAAAATGATTTGGCTAAATCATTCTAATCTTCTGAAATACACCAAAGCAAAACTTCTTCACTCACCATCATGGCATACAAACCCAGTGTGCTTGCAAGTCATGTGCATGTGACTGTGCTTAGATCATGGCAAAGCACAATCTAAGTTTTGATGGTCCCTGGCCCTCAAATAGGTGAGAAATACAGCTCCTGCTGATCTCACAGCCTTTCAGAGTTACTAATCCCAAGTTATATGTCCAAAGGTTCAGTTTCTAACTAATTCATTCATTTTTATAGGGCTTCCAAATAGGGAACAAGCCAGCAGGTCAGCACACTCTGTGTTAATTACTTTGCACCACTGAAAGCTATGACACATCGTGCCAGCTGCTCATTTGCATCATAAAGGAAGCTCAGAGAGGACAAAAACTTTCAGGCAATGAAATCCATTTATATCCTAATGTTTAAGCAAAATCTATGAACCTGAATTAAAAGTTTTTGTGTATTTAAAGATGTATATGTTCAGACTAAGAAGGAATTTAAAAGGGTAAATGAAAATCGGTTCTTTGTTTCACTTTTGACATTTCAAATAATTTAATAACAAAATAAGTGATAGCAGAATGTGTTCCTAAGATCACCAACCCTTGCTTTAAAAGGTGTAAACACATTACAGTATAATTTGTAATTTTTTTAACTGTTGGAAGGGGCTTGAAGCTATGGAAGTGCTTCAGAAGTTAATGATTAAATCAAAGAATTCATGTGCAAGAAAGTAACAAAGTCATCTCTAGTTGCTGATTTTCAGTCTATCTGGCCTTCTGAAGGTAAAATTATAGCTTTAAGATCTGAGGAACTTGATCAATCACAGCAAATAACCAAAACTGTCATGCATTTACTGAAGTAGAATTCAAACTTCACTAACTAATGTGGAAATTGACAGAGATCTCTTCAGAGGTTTTTAGGGAGGATATTTTTATTTGTTTTGCTCTTTTATGCATAGCAAAGCAGTAGCTCCTGTCATTATTTGAAAGGCTTTGAAGACTACGAGAGGAAAACAGCCAACATGAACTATTTTCTACTTTGTTATTATCTTGATTCAAAAAATGGAGCTTTGAAAGCTGTTTTTTTGGGAAGTGGCTTTACTAGTGAAATCCATATTTTGAAAAACATATGTGTGTTATGCAAGAAATTCTTCCTCACCCTGCAGGCCTGCCAGGAAGAAGGCTGTACTCCAGACTGTAAGAGTTGAGTATAGAGGGGAAAAAAATATCAGGAAAGTGCTTGAATCCCCTTCAGAGGTTTATAGCATTGGACTCTCTTCTACATAGGTCAGAAGTAAAAAGTAAAAATGAGTGAGAAAATGCTACTTGTTCAAAGGATACTTTGAACCTAGGCTGTTCTAGCACAAAATGAATTTTCGTTAGGAGATTTGAAAAGTATTGTAACAGAAGCTAATTAAGAAATCAAAACCATCAGGAGATGGTCCAGAATTCTTCAAAAATGCAAAAACTTCTGCCAATGCAAACCATAGCCAAAGGTTTCAAAGAAACAGTGGAAAGCCTCATGCAGGTCCCAGAACAAACAGACATGCCAACAAGGACATATGCCTTGGATCAGCTAGAGGCTAGGTGGAAGACTCCTAAGCAATATTCCCCCCAGCCTGTTGAAAAGATTAAACTGCATCTCTTGCAGCCAAAAGTAAGAATATTGTTACTGATTTTCTCTTGGCTGCAATCAATGAGGAAGTGCTATCCAAAGGTGCAGCGAGGACTTTACTAGACTCTGTGGGGTATCATAGCTATACTCCTTTTGGCAAAGAGGGAGAGACAGTAGCAACAGAAACATCTGCTGATCCTAGTTGATGCAAAGCAAAATTTCTGTAATCAAGTTGTCTATTTTTCTCATATTTGTATATCTTGCTCCTTGGAGTGTTTTAGTTCTTTTTAAGGCAAGCTGCTCTTAAAACATGGTTATGAAATAAAAACAATCTGCCTCTTGCCAACTACCAGACAAGGTAAAAGACAAGTACTAGATTTTACTTGGATATGTTGTGGAAGAGAGTTTTCACATATTCCAACTCAATCATTCTTTGATAATTTGATATGTGCTGCAGTTTTTTCATAAAACTTACATTCTCCTTTTTCATTGCGGCACAGGACCTTGGTGTCATCCGTACTTTCTATAATATCAAGAGACTCTCCCGGTTTAATATGTAATTCTTTAGATCCCCATCTTTTTTTAGGCAAATTCTGAACCACAGTAGTAGAAAAAAGAACTTTTATTTTACCTACAAACTGGAAAAAAAGAAAAATGCTGGTTAAAAATCATTAATGTACAGCTTGTGCTCATGCATTTTTTACTAAATTTTCTAAAATTAGGAAAATAATTGTATATGCTATGTAGTATGGGCCCATGCTTGCAGATGCTCAGACCACTATTTTTACAAGTAGTAATACCTCATCTTTCAAAGGATTAAGGGACACAAATGAGAGCATGCCATATAGATATTTTAGTTTTTATATTTTGTGAAAAAAACCTTACTTTGAACAAAACTTACTTTGAATTTTTTCCGGAATTCTTTCTCTTTTCTTTCCATCTGTTCATGCTTTTGTACATCTTTTTCATCTGATTTCCTTTTTCCAAAGCTTGCTACTTTTGATGAACTAAAGTAAGAGGTTACAGACAAAACCAAATCAGCAACACATCTGAGGTATTGGAAAGCTTTCTGATAATTCTGGTGAAAATGCATTTTCCTTCATGTGTCTTTATCATGTTTTTGTTGCTCTGTAAAACTAGTGCAGGTATTACAATATAGATTTTATTTCAAAATTAATAAAAAGCTGGAGTTGTCTTTCGTGTTTTTCTCTGATGTTAATGTACCTATCACATAAGCGAATATTGAGGTATTGAGTATTTAAGTATTGAGTATTTAAGTATCTGTCTGCTACAGCACTTTAGAATTTCTCAGCAAGGAGCAATTTTTATGAAGTCTGTGTATCTTTTGGCAATAAGCTGAATAACAGTGTATCTCACTGTGGAGGCAGCTGGAACATCTTAGCCTTACATATGTTAGTCCTATATGGCCATAAAAAACCTTGCTGCACCAGAGAATCTGCATTACATAACCCATTTCAGGTTCTGTTGGTTTTTTTTCCACATCCCTGATAGTGTTGACTTCTGCCAAGAAGCATGGAAGTGTTTCATGCCCTAACTGTCCTTTCTGATGCTGTATCTGGGACTGTAAAGTCTGATTCTCCTTTTTGATCCTTGCTGATCTCTGTAGGAGTTGTGGATGACAGTTTCATTAGTGATGAATGTTTGTGTGTGTGTGTGTGAACTAATCTAGACTTAGTTTAGAAGGGCCACATATTTTCCTTTGGATACACAGTCCTAAGAGCTCTCTCTGTTTTAACGTCTCCAGAGTAGATCATCATAGTCCGCTCTGTTGCTCCACCTGAGTGGAGTAAGTGACACCAGAATGCATCATTTTGCAGTCATCATCACAGATGCATCTGTGCTCATAACACGTCTGTGCTCCAGAGATGACCATAATTTTCTGATCCAGGATGAAAGTCTTCCTAGCTGAACTTTACTCCTCCAGATGTGTTTCATACTTATAACACAGAGCCCTGTCTCCTTTTCTCTTAAAATACTGGAGCAGCTGAGATCAAGTATGTATCCTAACAGTCCCCAAATTTTGATAGAAGAACTATGTGCAGAGAATCTACATTGAAAAGTACCTTTAGGCCATGAATCCATTTCTACCTCTTACTTTTTCTATGGTCTAATTATTGTTCCAGACAATTAACAGACATTAACAGCAGTCTGCCTCTAGTAAATACTTTAAAAATGTCTCTCAATGTATTAGATTTCTAATCATAATATTTCCACTTACGTATCATCAAGCGGCGGTGGAGGGAAGTCCGAAGAATCCACGTCATCGTACACATCCTCTCCACAGTCTGAAATAATAGTGTTTAGGAGAATGAAATGTTATTATGTGAAACTTAAGAAGTGAATACACTGTGTTACAGTCTATGGTATTTTACTGAAGTTGACAAGAAAATAAGGCAAGTACTGTAGCCATTTACTGTCCATAGCACAATCTACTGCGCAACACCACCCAATCTTTTCAGACTAAGACTCTTTAATAGCAATAACCAGTAGTCACTGAAATTTTAATCTTCTGAAGTTTAAGCAAGTTTTAGCACATGATGGCTAATAGCCTTTAATCTTCACTTTAATTAATCCATGTCCCACTATAGTGCATCAAAATGGATTTTTGGAATTTGATTTTAACATGTATTCAAGGACTTGTATAGCACTCTTGTCAATACAACATTGCTTAAAAGTGGATATGAATCACATGTATGTTAGTTTTTAGGCCATATTGCAACATCAAAGAAGCGAAAAAAATCTTAGCCCAGGAATATTCTTTGAACCACATTCAGTGTCTTTGTAGAGAGGAAGCAATTCTTTAACTCATCAAATCAATGCCTAGAGAAATCAGTAGGTTATAAAAGGTTTAGAACTCAGTTCTAGAAACAGCCTCAAAAATTGGAAGAAGTTGCTTTTTGTTCCATGGCTGAGCCAATGGTTATGAGTTATATATTATTTTACAGGGATACTGCAAGTGATAAAAGTAACAGCAAGCACTTCTTTTTACTTTTGAAGTCTTTTACTGAGTGCTTCTTTCCGAGCGTATCTGTTCAAATTAAGTTCCAATAAAATGAACTAGTGTAAATCTCAGATAGAAAAATCACATTAAATGTATTAAATTGTTTTCTAGAGAGCTTGCAATGTATATGTATCTCCTTGTCTGTAGCCAATCAGTCACAATATTTGAAATTTGTTTACTAGAACTGGGTAAGCAATAGGAAATCCTGTTTCCTTCCTTGGATGTATTTTTGTGACTAGAATGATACAGAGCAATGTATACAGAAAAAAGGATCAGGAATCAATAGAGAGACTGAACAATAGACTATTAATTACCTTTTCCAGACAGCTTTGTTGAAGAAGATGTGCTGGGGAGGGGAGGTGAAAGAAAGCTTATTAAGTATTTATAGCACATTCATAGGCTTTTTTGTAACCTAAATAATCTAAAAAATTGCGACACCGGGGCTCCGAATAATCTCCAGAAATTTTGAGGTGCCACCGACACCACCAATGCTTCAGGACTAAATGTATTTTTACCACTGAATCAAAGTAAACTTTTTCAGAACTGAATGACTGAGGCAGGTGGTAAAAACAGCAGTTGCTGATCTAAGCTCCAGGTAAGATGAGTAGAAGACAATCTTTGCATTTTTCTGTTTGGAATATTATTCCTAAAATTTGGATTAATGGGTCTAGATTTACCAGTTTCTCTCCGGTACGTTGTACTGGTAGCAAAGTACATTTTAACTGAGGATACAGCAAATTTACATCACCAGAGTGGCACAAAGATGATGGATTATTTTGGTGCTCTTCACCAAAAAGAAAATTTGGCATATTTTAGTTACCAGACTTTTGCAAAAAATACGGCTTGTTAAGAGAATAATTATGCAGGTGAAAAGAAAGCTCAGTGTTTTTGCAGAAAAGTATCATCCTGAGCTGCAATTTTATGCATGATTCATTAGGCTGCTGTGAGGACATGTTAGTAGCATATGATCAATGCTTTATTAGAATTAGGTAATGTGCACTGTGATTTCCTGGCAGACTCTTACAATAAATTTCCATTATCTTCTGCCTCATTGACTTTGGTTGTTTTTTCTCGTATACTTTTCTTTTTGTCATCTTTGACCTTTAGCCTCTTCAAGATTCCCCAGGACCAGACACCATTCTTATCTTCATCCTGTGATACAGACCTTTGGAGTATGCATGCGATTATCACAATGTCAAATATAATGTTCTTTTTAAAAGGCCCAGTTTAAATTCTCCATTGATGCACATAATTATCATTAATGCCAACAATGTATATATACCATGAAGTGAGGTCACTTACCCAAATGGTAAAATGCTAAACTAGAAATATGTACGTTATGTTACTTGTAGATACTGAGATATATTTGTAGTATATATGTTAATCTAGTGGCTTACTGTTTTTATGCTGTTACTCAGCTAGCTAGCAATTTAGTTTGTTATTTTCATTTCAGACCTATTCTGTCTGCTTGGGGATTTGGAGATTTTCATGATTGCAACTGCTTTTGCTGACTTACTAAAATTAATTACAGAACAAAATTTCTCCAAAAGACAGAAGAACCTTTTTAGTTTAGCTTCACAAATTCATACTGATATATACCCGCTTGCTGATCATCCTAATACTTGCTAATTATTACGTCTAATTGAAAAATACTAAAACCTGAAAACATTCTGTTAAAGTAGAAAATTATTTAAATTATATAAAACCTTACCTTGCTATGGGTTCTCCATCATCAATTTCATCGTAAATATCTTGATTAGAAGGAGGAGGAGGTGGGAACACATCTTTAACAGATGAAACAATGAATTAATGCAAATATATTTAATGCTGCAGAATAGGGTATTCATTACAGGCCTCTTAACTATATTAGACATGCGTGCAGTTTAGGCAATATCCTTGTAAATGGAATATTTCTGTAAACCAGCACAGTCTGTTTATTAAAACAGTGATTTAGACTTATCTCAGTTGGGAATGCCATCCACAGAATTTTAATGTGGCACTGCCAATCACAAGAGCATGGATACTGAATATGTATGCTTCTACACTGTAGTCAATGAAATTCTAAATGGCTGATTCGGCCCAGACACTAGGATGACTTTTAAATTTTTATGTGTGACTCAAGTGATAACTGAAGATGCCAGACCAATACTCTTAGCAAGGGACATCTTGTCTTCATCCATGGAAGTCAGAGATAAGTGCAATGTAAGCTCCCCATTTTGGCCTCAGTTTTGACCTTTGGGCCCCACCTCCTTCAGTGCAGAGTTAGCTCAGTTTGCATGTGCAATTCCAGCCACCGGTCAGAGTAATCACTGAAATCTGTACTTAGCTGGCAGCAACTCCGTTCAGTACTGCCAGGGGATGCTTCTGCCATGACCAGTATCTAAACTCTAAGCTGAGAAGATGAGCTGTGCTCTTGTGATCAACAGAGAATGCTATATAAATATATAGGCTACCAAAGGGGAAACTGGGTTCGAATGTGTGTTCTTGACTGCGTGGAGCTGCTGCATCTGGTCTCCAGTGTATTACTGTAACTGAAGTTGCCCTTAACTCTGTTAGCAAAATGCAGCTTTATTTGGTAGTATTACTGGCTTTTTCAGAACCAGAATTCTTCAGCGCAGAAACCCTTGCTCATCTTAGTATTTTGACAGCTATATCTGTGCTGTTTTGTGGGATGATTTACCTCCACACACACACAAAAACCAAGTTCGGTCATCTGTATTGCTAGTGATTCACAGTATCTGAAGACAAAACTCCTATCTCACTCAAGTTCCTGTAAGTGGTGGGGAAGGTAATTTGGCTACTATACTTCCTTGTTTGTTGCCCATTAGCAAACATTTAATATGCTTATGGGTAATTAGTGCATTATCTGGAAGCTGTAAAAAATACACACTAACAACTCCCCCAAAATGTTTATGTAGAACTTACTTCCAGTTCCACTATTGTCGGAACCTAGGCTGGAAAAGCAAACAAAAGACATTTTAGAGAAGAGCAGTCATCCTTGAGTAAAAGAAAACATCATGATCACCCATCCCTTTTTCAGTTATTAATTCTAAAACTTTCGGCCTTAGCACTCATGTTCATGTCAGCTGAACATTACAAGTTCTGCACTGGAAGCTCAGACACATGCTTGTGTTTTTATGCGGGGAATAACTAAATGTGCCAGCTCTTCCTTTCTGTCTGCTTTCACCACACTCACATCAATTTCTTACAGTCAAATAAGTAGTTTGTATTCTTACTAATGCCAAAGAAAATGTGTAATCTAGTTCAGACATGAACTAGGGCCTAGATGAAGAAAAATTAACTCTTAGTAGATTCCGGTAAAGCAGGAAAAATGCTTCATTTTTTTTGCTTTTTTCCTGGGAAATAATTAGTTACAAATCATAAAAGAGTGCTTTAATACATCGCTCAAAGGAATTGAAAGGGGAATAAGAGGGTTATCAGTACGATCTTTAGTATGTTATAAGTAAAGCTGTGAAGCAAATTCTTTATTTTCACAAATCAATGCAGATATTTCAAGCCAGTGAAGGTGCACTTATTAATTTTTGAATATTAGCAATACTGTTGATAATGAGCTAATAGTATTTGCTCAGGAGATTTTTTTTAGAATGGCATTCTTACAGTGGTTTCAAAACATGTTGATGTATGTCAGACCTTCCAATAATTCATGCTCAAGAACTTAACAGAATGCTATTAATCACTAGAGAAGATAAAAATGTCAAAATACAGCTTAAAAGATTTAATGAATCTGAGCAAATCATTCATCCTTCCAAGTTCCTTGGAATACACTATTATTTTAGTACACAACAGTGTCAGTATTATTGTTTGCTTTTACATTCAACAGATTTTCTAAATACTTTGCATTGAGATGGTTAATTGTGATTCTTGCCATAGTGAGAAGGATTGGCCAAAGATACTTTTGCAATGAAGTAACTATTGCTGAGATTACCTAAAATGTAGAACAACTAACTCAAGTCTCCTGGCTAGGTCATGATGCCATGAGGCCAATGTGCAGGGAGGAAAACTGATATGGAGCAAGCTGGTAAAGTATCAGATTTGTTGCTTAAGAATGCCAGCCTGAAGGCAGACTTTTCCAAGTGCTGTTTCTGGAGCTCAATGGGAATGAGGATCAGCTGCACTCAGCAGCCGGCCAGCTTCAGTCCTTTTATTCCATGCAGGCCTACAAAGTTAAGAAGCCTCATGGGAAGCAGTGAAAGCAGGGGTAATGGCTGTTTCAAGATGGTTGTCCTACATATGGAAATTCTTTGCAGCTGTATGCAGATCCCTTGTCCCAGGCTATGTGTTTCTGCACATCTGGACATGTAGTGGAGATTGAGCACTAGTTTGTTGCATCCCATTTCAGAAGCAGGCTTTTATGTGAGATCTGGTAACGGAGGGTACCACTGTCATGCTAGGTTATGTGATAGCCTTGACTCCTGTCACAAGGTCACTAGGATATTTCCCGGCCTGCAAATCTGATCTGCTGCTGGAGGTGGCACTCAGAGAAGTGTACTAAGAAGATCTTAACTGCAGATCTGTTTGACATGAAAAATATGACATATTGAAGTAGAGAGTATGCAGTGGAGCACTGCATTGCAAATGCGTGTGAGACCGTTCCATAGAGAAGAAGCTTCTGGTGAAGTCAAAAAAGTAAAAAAAAACTCATACCCATCTCATGGAACTTGAGAGGTCTTGTTTTCAGGATTAAACTCATTAGCCACACTCTTTCCTGAAGGGCCATCCTAAACTTGATTCCAGAAGTCCCTTCTCTTCAAAAGAAGACTTATGGACTCACACTGAGGCTCATGAAAGCAATGGGGGTGATCAGGAGTTCCCTCCTGCAGTGAATTGCTTTTAGAGTCTTTTATTTTTTCATGTTAGAAAAGGGACTACATGACTTCAAAAGACAGGATGAGAGAAGAGAGGGAGTGAAGAGAATTGCACTTCCTGCATATGATTTGTAATCCTGTATGGTTTGCATTTTGTTCTCTTTTGGACTGCAAAGAGAACAGGTCCTCTTCCAATAGTATGAATTCCTCCTGAACATGGAAGCTTACAGATGATGGATTCCAGAATTCATTTATGCTCCTCTAACCAACTTACATGTTTCTTATACAAATGACTGTTCCGTGACAAGAGTTGGCTTTGTTGTTGTAAAACTTCCCCTGGCTAGGCTGACTGGGATGAATTATTTTTTTCTTTCCATGTATTCCTTATACATACCTCATCAAGCTCTCCTGCTCTCCAACATCATCATACACTTCCATGTCACACTCTGAAAATTCCACATTGGCTCCAGTAGGTGCTCGTTGCTTTCTTTTCAAAGAGTCATAATCAATCTCTACCATGGTTGTTTTAATGTATCCATCTAAATGAATGAAATCATTAGGCAGAGACAGTTTTAAAAGGTCATGGTAAAAGGATGAGTTTAACAGAAGGTTCAGAACTGAAATTTTTTTAATGAGTTTTGAAAACTTTCAAAGTGTCTCATTCCAAGCAGCCTAAGCTTGACTCTCCATCTGTCAACACAAATACAAATCTCAGATCTGTCTCCCCACTAAGCCTTCCTCATGTGGTGTCATGTTAACTTCACCCTTATTTGCTTCTCAGCTGTCAGCTCAGAATTTTCTGTGCAGACTCCTGGAATCATGAGGCAGACTCCATTTCTCAGCTAACCTTGGAACCACTGCAGTCTTGTGCATATTTTAGGTCATCAGAACAGTTGGCCTAAGATGAGGAACTCTGTATCTCCTGAGGGGAATTTTAGACAGTCCTCTTAAAAATCATGCAAGTGTTTTTAATAATTTTGATTGATTTAATGGATCAATCTTTTATAACCCAGGAGCCAGATCATCAATCCCTTTATCACACTCACAGATCCACTGATGATATTTATACAGTTAGAGAAACATCTTGGATTTCAGGCAAAATAAAAACTAAAAATCAGTTAGAAACTTTCGTAGGAGTAGAAACAAGATAAAGACTTAGAACTGGTCCTTATAGTCTCTATTTCTATTTTAGGAACACCAATGTTATGTTTAAGAGAAAGACAGGAAAAACTGCGATCCTTGTTACTTGCAGAGTGCCCAGTTCTGATGCTATTTGAAAGCTGACAGGGAATTGCTTCTCAGTGTGTCAATGAAGGTCCCAGCATATTGTACCTGACTTATTTTAGTGCCTATAAATGTTACATCATGTTTTGCAATAACTTCATAGTATGAACTAAACCTTTCATGCTAGCTGGGCACAGGAGGGTGAACTGTGGTAATTACTTTCTTTGGTGGCCAGTGACTCAGCCTTGGTAAGGCTACTCTTTGGTGTAATGCTCACCTGTTTGCTGTCATACAGTGAAAACATTCAGGAGCACAAGGAAGAAACAGAACTCACAGCATTCTCCTATCCTGCCCAACCACTTTCCTTCTGGGTTGTCTGTGAGGCGAATGATTTCAATCTTATCCCCCTCTTTGACAGTCAGTTCATTCTTCCCCCCTTTGTAGTCAACACAAGCTCGTGCCTGATGAATAACTTCAATGGGTCTCATTAACTGAAGAAAAGAAGGAACAAAATAAATCACAGATGTGGAAAATGGAGGTTTTTTCTCCCAGACATTCAGAATGAAAGAAAAAAAAACAGTTATGATGATTACTTGTTTCATTGACATTTAAAGTGGCCTAGGCAAATAAACAGAAAGGCTTTCTGCCACCACAACTACCTAGTTTAAATTAATAATCAGAGATTAAAAGAGAGGGGAACAGAATGGAAGTAGACCAGTTGAACTGATTGGCAAAATTACAAAAATACAAAACCTAAAACCAACGAACTAACTATGGAGCCTTTCACGAGTTTACAAAACAGACATATTTAATTTCAGTGCACATCTCCATGTATTTCCAGCAGAACCACTCACCAAAACAGAATCTTTTATGTTGGAAAAGACATCTGAGATCACTGAGCTCAATGGAAGAAATATCCAAACTAAATATCCCCCAGCACAACTTCGGGCTACTTTCTCTTGTCCTAATCCTTGTTATGTGGGAGAAGAGACCAATCTCCACCTCACAACCTCCTTTCAGGTATTTGTTTGGAGTCATAAGATCTCCCCTGAGCCTCCTTTTCTCTAAGCTGAGCACCCCAAGCTTCTGCAGCTGTTCCTCATAGGACTTGTGTTCCAGACCCTGCACCAACTCCATTGCCTTCCTCTGGACTCTCTCCAGCACATCAATGTCTTTCTTGTAGCAAGGGGCCCAAAACTGGACACAGGATTCAAGGTGCAGCCTCACCAGTACCAAGTACAAATGGACAATCACTGCTGTGGTCCTGCTGGCCACACTATTGCTGATACAAATTACATGAGTAAAATTCATTAACATTAAAGGGTCTGTCACATAATCCTCTGTGTTTACAATTCTTTTCTATAAATGATATTGCAAATACTCACAAGAGATGATCACACTGTTTACTGGAGTTTAGGATTTGCTTTGCGGGATCTTCACATTATGGAGAAACCATTTTGGATTGAAGTAGACTTTAAGATATATATGACCTTTCAGAGGCATAGTGCTCTTGCCAATTAGAGAATAGGTCAGGAATATAGGTGGCGAATAAATGTGAAAAAAAAACCAACTAAAATATATTTGTTTGCATTTAATACCAACTAAAATATATTTGTTTGCATTTAAATATAATAACATTCCTTAATGGCTGTAGGACAACAGTCTGCAAGCTAAAAGCGTTCTGTGCACTAATATCTACACTTCACAGGAGTGGTTAACCCACTATTATTAACTAAGTGGTTCTTTAATATTTGCTTATCAAGTCATGCCAGTCTCTCCACAGCTGACCAAGGCCTCAGTGTGAGACAATCACCATGGCTTTACTGCGTACTGAACATAATAGGAAATAAAACAAAGCTGCCCACTATGTACAATGACACTGAAAGCAGCACAGTGGAGCATTGTGAACAGATATTAGTTTAGAGAAACTGACTGGCTGATTTGCAAACTGTGGGAGCATGCTGACCACCAGATATATAAATATTATTTAATAACAGAAAGAACTGCCTCATGATTTAGCCTGAGACACAGACTTTAGCTCCCCTACACATGCCCTATTCACTTCCTCCCCACTTAAGCTGTAAATCCGTTTAGATACCTTTATGCCAAGTGCAAGGGCAATATGTTGCAATTTTGAAATCTCTCAAGGGCTAGATACTTTTGTATCTGACTACAGCAAAGCAAGTAACACTAAGCATACGGGATACAATTCCCACTTTTATTAAAGACTTTTGATGCTATTCTAATGATGCAAATCATTAGAAACAGAAAAGTGAAAGCAAATGTTTTGGTTTGTTTGTTTGTTTGTTTGTTTTGTTTTGTTTTTTTTTTTGGTGCCTTTTTTTTTTTTTTTTTTTTTTACCGTGGAAAGAAGTTGTGAAGGTAATTTAAAGAAAACTGAACAAAGTCTTTGCCATCAGTGCGGAGCTTGAAGTCAAGCATATGCCCAACATAAAAGGGTAGTTTAAAACTTTATTCAGAATTTATTCAGGTATTTGAACTACCTACCATAACAAATAATTTTGTAACTAGATGAGAAGTGTATTTTGCACTTGATACTGCTAAATAATCCTTCTTACGTGTTTTTGGCCAGATTACAAAACAAAAAGCTTACTTTGAACTTCTTCCTTAATTCCAGTTCTTTCTTTTCTTTTTCCTTTTGTTCTCTTTTCTCTTGTTCCATTCTTCTCTTATCTTCTTTGTTCTGCTTCTTCTCTTTTTCCCTTGATGATCTGAAAGTGCATTGCCAGGAATGAATGTGTGAAGCAAATCTTCCCTAGAGCTTCCTTACTCAAGGTTGATAAAAAATTACATGTGATAAAAAAAGACTTCTCCAAGTGAAATCAAAGCTATGGATTCTAAACTCTAGTGAAGCTGCAACAAATAGAGTAAGGAATCCTTTACTACATATATAATTTAAAGTGGCTGTCCTTAAGGGGACAGCACACCAGGAAAGGTTACCTGGAGGCAAAATACCAGCTCTACATGTGTGTATCCAAATGTCCCTGACCTAATTGTGTTGAACAAGCTTGGAAACCGGTAGCAGTTTCATTCCTTTTTTAGGATAGTTTTGATAAGCTGATATGCTTAAATTATACTAAAAAAAAAAAAAAAAGAAGACTGAATGAAGATCATTTGCTTGGGTTATAAAACATGTATTAATATCACTTATTTGCAAAGGGAATTCACCAATAAATTTTTGCTGAAAGTCCTTCTAAATCTGAAGTATTCTACATCTATTACTTATTTGAAGGGAACTGGCTATCGTAATACAGTAAATGTCATACATTTAGATATTACCAGGGCAAAAGAGTCCTCAAAGTAAAGGCCTAAATGGAAGAAGAATAAGAGAGCTTGTATTCTGGCTAGTGTACTCAGGCAACGAAAATTGTCAATCCAGCCTCCCACAGGAGTTCTGAGAAAATTTATCTGAAAAGCAAGAAAAACAACCACAACAAAAATCTATCTGGTACCATAGTATCTTGGGCTGAGCTTATTTTCTAGAGAACTAGACTGTAATTCCAACAAGTGGTTCAGACATGTTCCTCAGATCAGAAATCAGGCTTCTGTTACGTCAATCACAGTAACAACATCGGTTCGTTACAGGAGTTTTTCCAGCACGAGGCATGGCAGATCTAACTAGAAAAGAACCTTAGAACAACTGGACTTTCTTTAGGTGAAATGAATGAACACAATAATCCCTGGCAGGGACTGCAGTGGAATGACATTTTTGTGCCAGATGAAATATCTTTGTTAACAAAGATAGTAATAAAGATACAATAGGTTATAGAGTTTAAAATTGCTACCTGATGTCATTTATATCTTCATACATCTCAACATCACTCTGTTGGCCCTACAAAACCAAAAACAAACAAACAAACAAACAAACAAACAAAAATCAAACCAACCAACCAAACAAACAAAAAAATCAGTTTTAAATGGTCTAAGTAAAATTGGAAAGACATGAAGAAACTGAGCCTGCTAGGTAAGCTTCACATAAACTATATAAAATACATTTATAGCAAAATGCAAACACAAATTCCTTTAATCTTCCCAAAACAAGTTACTACATTATACAATCCCACTATTCTTTCTTCCCCTACCTTTGTTTTTACAATACCACAACTATGAAGTCCTGGATTGTTAGAATCACACCAGCACACTACTTAATCCAAAGGGGACATTTTAATCGCAACGTTAGTCCTGAAAAATCTGCATCCATGCTGATGGTTGCACTGCTATGATGAAGGCGTCAGAGTTTGCACTATTTAAACCAGAATGTTAATGACCTAAATGGGGCAAAGATTAGGGTCCAAGAGACAGTTTTAGTCTTCCTATAACCAGGTACTTAAGCATACCAATATAAAACTGTGCTTAACTGAAATATTAACTGAAATATTCTCTTACTAGAATGCAGCAGGATCCTTGTTTCTGGAAAATTGTAGTGAAATGAAATGTCAGTGGTATTAGAAGGTGTACTTTTGCCTCTTTTTTTTTTTTTTTTTTTTTAATCAATTTTTGGTGTCTAGTCAGCTTTGAAAATTAGTTCTGGTTTATTCTGCTTACCTGAATTTATTTCTGTCCTTCACAATAAGTAAGTGCTTCTACAACTTACTGTCAATATACTGGATCATTTCTGCAATTAATTTTCTAATTTATTTAAGGGGTTTTAATAAATGTGGTAGTTTTTTGCTAAAAATGATAGGTTTATCTTGGAGGATAGCACTTACCCCCTGTGTACCTCCATGACCTATAGGAGAAAAAATAAAAACTGGGTATTTATTTTTTCTTGTACACAAAACAATTAATTGTAGCATTAACTGTTTTAAACTGATAATAATACAAGTGATATTAATCAGAAGTATGTGCAGACTCCAGGTTTTTAATGAGGTTATGAATGCAAAAATCAGAATTCTTCCAAATTGATTTTATAGTACACTCTAAAATAAAAATATCTACAATCAACATATTTAACTCCGTATTTTAAAAGTGAAAAATTTGTTTTAAAGATTCTTTAGTGACATTGAAAAATTTACCTATACTATTTGTTTACAAAAATGAATATTTATAGGAAAAAGTCATGGTTAAAAACCTAAGAAATCCAAACAGATCTCAAAGAACTTTTTTGCACCAGCCCCACAGCTGAATAAGGAGGCCAAAGGCCCTTTGGCTAAGGCAGTGTCTGCCCTGGGCTGCAGGAGAAGAAGCTCTGTGACTTTTCTGCTTCCTCCTTAGTCTGCAGGGAGTTAGGTTAGACAAGCTCGGTTTCAGCTCCACAGTCTGCATTGCTGTCCGTCAGGGATGGCCAGCACACTAAATGATGCACACTGTGCCTGGCACAGACTGAGTCCCCCCAAAGAGAGATCAGAAGGCAGATTGAAATTTTTTATGTCACAATCTGCTTCTCTACTGCTCCTGGTACAACATAGTGGCTCACTGCCTCTAATTGAGGCAGACCACAAAGCAACATTAAAAGCACAGTCAAAAATTTTTATTTTTTTTTAGCAAGTATAAACCAGTGCCTCCTTCACCAGACCACACAACTTCAGCTCTGAAAGAACAGCATTCATTTTGGTTCAGATTTAAAAAATCTTGTAATTTACAGTCCTGGCATTTTTCTAATGAAAAAAAAAAAAAAGAAAGGAGGGAGTGAGGGAGGTAAGAGGGAAGTTATTTAAAGCAGTTCCTGAAAGTCTGTCATATTAATCATAGAACAGTAGAACAGTTAGTTTTATGAGACAACCATCTTCACTCATGAAACTACAGAACTAGTATAATTAGTTACACAAATCACACATAGAAAACAATATTCTTTTGCTTATCTTATAAATACAACTTTCTTGCAGCTTCTCATAGTTGCCACTGATTAAAATGTATACATCTTACCCTGTGAAACAAATTCCACGTCATCATAATTTTCTTCATTTTCTGGATTTCTGTAAGTATGAAAAAGTGGACACGTGAAATCTATGAAGGTGATCTTATATTTTATATTTATATTTTCATCCACCATTGTCCTGCTGCTTTTTCCATCTATTTTATACAATGGCTGGACAGTCTATTGAGCTCTATATCCTACTTAGTAGAAACAAGATTCTTTAAATTATTCTTCCTGATTGTGGTTTGGTGTTTCAGATGGGGACACCGTGATCTTGAGAATAAAAGATCAAAATAAGCCAAAGGCACTCAGATACCATGAAGATGAGTATGGTATGAAAAATATAGTCAGCAGATGGGCTGACTGAATGAAAAAAATATGTTGGGTTTTTAAACTATCCTTGCAGGTGCAGGCTTCTTACACAATACACAAGCACAACGCCAGACTTTTGCTCAATGTTAAATATAGTTCTGAGACTACTCCTTGACTTGTAGGGCTTAAAGTCTAAACATGGGACAAGAGAAGCAGTAGTGTAAGGTTAGGCCAAGTAAAAGGTCTCTGATGTTAGATTTAAAAGTGCTGTCCAACTGAGAGAAGCAAGAAATTGAGAATATAACTAGTAATATCAGGTACTTTTAACTTTAATATGTCTTGTAACAGCTGAAAGAGAATTAGGGCTGATAGTGATCATCCAAGAAGGGTAATCAAAGAATGGACTTTGAAGCAGAATGGGATGTTCTAAAATTGGCCTCACAGCAGAAGCACAGAGACAGGTGAAAGCACAGGTGTCAGCACCCAGGTACAAGTTTTCAGTGGAGGGGAGACCCCAGAGGGCACACAGGAATGGAAGACCAGAAGGGCCATCTGGAGGTAAATTTCACAGGTCACTGAAGGTGAAGATGAGGATACCCAGGATGGCTGTTGCAGGTGCTGTGGCCTTGAGGCTGGAGTGATGCTGTCACTCTGGTCACACTGACACAGAGCCCTGTGTTGGCACACGCCTCTCCAACTCTCCCTGCCTGTTGTTTGCTGCTCTTTGCAGTAACTGCTGGTCAGAGAGCATCTCCTTATTCAGGCTCAGCTTGATTCCAGTCAGTTTTGACACAGGATCAAAGTACTTATAACTCTTTTTCACCAGAGGTTCCACTTTTGTATGCAAGTCTTCAAAGAAGGATTAAGAAGGGAGCCCTGTATTGACAGAGGCTTCTCAGAGTTATCACATAAAGCCGTGATGTGCCCGTGGCGCAGTTTCACAGCCAGGGCTGAGCTCAGTTCCTCTGGTTTGCAGAGCTACTTCCTGGGCTATTGACTCATAGACATGACTCTCCTTGCTCTCTTACCCCAGAAAAATGCAGGGTAAACCTTCAGTTGTTTATTACAACTGGTTTTCTACCCATGTATGAAGTCTTTCAACAGGTTTGAAATAAAAACTCAGTCTATTCCCTTCTCCCTACCCCAGCCCCCCCAACAGGGCAAAAAAAGTGTTGTTATAGCTAAGGCAATTCAGGGAAACAACTGAATAGATGAAGGGTTCAAACTAATAAAAACTAATTCCAGACAGGACAAGGCCAGGGCAAGACAAGGACAGTAGTAAGACTTCACTCCCCCAGAAACCTGGGACTCCTGTAGTATTCATCTGCAGCTGCATGAGCAAAGTAACAGTTAGAAAAAGGTGAAACAATAAAGACCTTGAGGTTTACGTTCACTTACCTTGTTTCAGAGCTGGGCTTGATGTTTCTGGGGGGCAGACTGGGAGCTGCCTTAACCTGCAGGGCTGGGTAAGAGATTGGTGGAGGAGGTGGAAACTGTGGGGCAGATGCTGCTGAGGAAGGTGCTGTCAGTTTCAAACCTTTAGCTGCTGAAATAAAGAAGAACAGATTGATGTATCAAGCTGAGGACAGAACCTTGCTGTTTTACATGAAGTATTGGGTAAAATATCAGCACTGAACACATGCCAGAGCAAATATATTTTGTTGAACCTGCTTCTTATAAATCTTTGTTGCATTATCTTACCAGAGTAGAGAGGAAGAGGCTCTACATAGAAGAATGTACTGCCTGCACAAGGCCTTGAAAATGTCTTTGCCAAGACATGAACAAGATGCAAAAACTTCACAGGCCATCCAGTATATATAAGTACCTGTGCTTTGAAACTAAATTATAATATAATTCCACAATCTGCTTGGAAAAACCAGCTGCAGAATTTCATGTGAGTACTTATGCAGTCTTGATGACTTTTTCTTGCTCAGAGACAGAGTTTTAAGGGAAAGGATGAGAGATAAAAAGATATTTTGGCATTTATTAAAAGATATACAGGTCCCTGAACATCTTCAAATATGTATTTAATGAAAGTTTTACAAGGCTGGACATAATTTTCTAGCAAGCCTCCACTAGAAAAGTGGCAGTTTAAGAATCTGCAGAGAAGCTACCCCCTCAACAGACAGGTGTAGTCTTAAAAAAAGGATGATGCTGTGCACCAGGCAGAGAAACCATAATTTCATGAGTGAGCTGGTGTTCATGCGTGCTGCACTGAGTTCATGCTCCATGTACAAGTCACAAACAAAACCATAGTAACCATTGCTTTGAGAGTTCATGTTGAGAGAATTTATTCAACACAATCAAATTCAATCGCTGTTTGGATGTCATGATATTAAACATAGAATTTTTTCTGAATTATCACTAGTGGATTAAAGGCTACCCAAAAAGAATTGTCCCCAGCCACATGGGGGGAAGCCCAACAAAATCCAAGGACGAAGAGAACAGCAGGAAAAAGGAAATTCAGAGTTAACACCAACTACAAGTGAAAAGAAACCCCCTTCTCTTCTGGAGATTTTCTTTAAGTTCACATCTGTATAGTGGAAATTAAAATCTTGTCAAGAAAGAAAATGTTCACTGGAAAAAATTGCCTTAAACACAGAACAACAACAAATACTTAGTAATGTTTAATATCAAGACATAAAGTTACAAAAACTACTGGAAGACCTTTTTTTAGCTGCTAAGATGTCCGAAATTCTGTCTTTGGGATAGACAGGAAAAGGGGAATTGGTAACTTTCAGAAGGACCTCTCATGTCTCATGTGGAAATCAAAGTGAAATTATCAAGCCTTGACAGTTTGTCTACTTATTACCGAAGAACTCAAAAATATATGGAGAAATTTTGCTTCATGGCTGGATGGACCAACCTGCCAACATACATATCAACAAGAGTGAATTTGAAACCTGTAAATTCCTTCGTTACTTAAATAGCAAAGTACTAATAGCCCCAACGCTGCTGATTAAACAGGTGGATTCTTTTGTGTTTTTGTTAAGGAACACATTTCTTCATTCAACATGTATGCTTGCTTTTGAATAAAGGCAAACTTTGCTTAAATGAGCCAAGGTTACACAAGATTGTGCTCTTGTATCTGGGTGTCATAGGATGACGTGATAGCATTTAACTCTTCACAGGCTTTATTCATCCACAGGTTTCATCAGCTATGATCTCTTATTGTTCTGAAACCCCTTATAAAGATGAATAGCACTGACTATTTAAACATATATCTGCAACTGAGTTCTAGATTCTAGCCAAAGAAAGCAACCAGAAAGAAGGGGTTTTTTACTTTGTTTTTTCTTTATTTTTTTTTCATAAAAGCCATGTAAATTGGTATTAATGATACTCTCAAATTTATTTTTGTGTTTTAACAGGGTATCCTATATAGTTTTTTTGTGGTTAGATTTCTGTTGCCCTTACGGAGTGTTGTGTATATGCACAACATGTATAAAAGCATTATGTCATCATATTGTGTTACTTCATTGTGATTAGTTTGTAGGACTAAGGTAAAAAATTCTGCCCAAGTCTCAGTGCATAACACTTCTCTGATCTGATATGCCTTGGAAGCCAAATCCAGGCAATAGGAAACTGAGCCAGGAAAGGGCACCACATGCATTTTAGATTTAGTGCTTATTTTTAAGTATAAGGGCTGAGTGATCTGTCCTTTTTATGTACATTGTAATCTAACAGTAACTAAATGATCGTCATAATAATGGAAATAATGCTCTTTATTGTCTAACTATCAGAATGGACTCTTCTCTGCCTTAAAGTTGTAATTAGCCGCACTTATGACTGAGACTGATGTGGGTGTAAAATGCTTTACTTCAAATACCGGAAATAGTGGGATGAGTTAGGTAGGAAAGTGGCAAGCAGTATAAAAAAGCTGTTATAATCAGGCCTGATGAGCCAAAGCTATCATAAAATTTCAATACTGTGTTTTTTCCTATTTTAGTGGAGCATTTAATTTTGATTCCAGTTTGGGTTTTTTTGTTTGTTTGGTTTGGTTTGGTTTTTTTTGTGTCTGGGACACTTGGAACTCTGAAAACCTGGAAAGGCTCTGTGCAGGTAGTGGAACTGCAGTCAGCTGCAGACACTTAGATCAAGAATTCAAACTGAAACTACATTCTGGCTTCACATGCACCTAAAGCATTCTCATCACAGGAAACAGTGCTAGTGATGATCACTGTATGGTAGCTTTGACCACTAGCACCTCAGTTTCCAAATAGCCTCTCCCCTCTTCTTAGGACTGAACTTTTCACATGCTGTGCTGCACTGAATAAAGAGATGCAGATGAAGATGAATAACCAATTATCAACCTGACCAGAACAGAAAAAGTAGAAGAAAAAAAAGCCACATTTTTTAGCACTTGCACCTGCAGCTCAACATCCATTCACTGATGATACAATCTCTGCTGATCAATCAAATTTGTATTGCAATAGAACGTGGTTATTTGGCAGAAAGGTTTTACCTGACAACAGTGGCAAATATTAATTTTGATATCTCCCTTGAATCAGGAAAATATCCCATCCTAGCAGAGGGTGATCTGGATTCAGCTGTTTGTATTTTTCTCATACTTGGCTGAATTGCAGCAACAATGTGTACCTGCTCTCGAAGCCAACAGTGCCTTAGAAATCCCAGTTAGCTCAGAATAACTGTACTGATATTATCAGCAACACATTCTCTTCCTAATGCATTAGCCTGGCCTCTAGCCTCTAAGCAGTCCAGACTTAACAGCAAAGAATGAACTCTTAATGATGTTTAAAGTATCAGGCTGTAGCATCTAAGCTATTAATTTCCTCAACCCAGAAATTTCTGGTTCAAAACTGAATTAGAAATTTCTAAACAAAACTAAAACCCAGTAGCAATGCATATTGCTCTACCTTCCATTTCGAGTTCACTCTGATCGCATCTGCTTCACCTTGAATGCATAGACATATGTAAGAAACAAGACAGTCTCTTGCACATGCAAGTGGAAAATTGTTTCTTGACTTCACATCCTAAAAAGAAGACTACCCCACTCTTCCTTTGGCCTAGTATGGCCTTGGTGAAAGCTTATTCCCTTTGACCCCTGACGCAGTGAGCTCGTGATGCGGTGCTGACTCCTTCTTTTAGTAACTTAAAGAAAACCTGACAATGATCAGTTACAACAGGGAGACTCCAAAAATTCTGCAGGAAAAAAATGCCTGGAATTTTAAAATTCTTAATGAATTTTTATATTTTTCATAAAAAAGAACTTAAGGATTTTTGAAGCAGCTACACAGTAAAAAATCTTGCATTTTGAAAGAAGTACAGTTCTGTAATGCAAACTACTTTTGAGCTACACTGCAAACACAACATGTTTTTCGGTCTTACTGCAAAACATTTCACCACTTCTACATTCAAGATCTGGGAAGTTTTCTGGGTTTTACAGAGGGTTTGCTAAGAACCTACAACAACATCTGCAGCAGCTGATCACCCTCTTCCTACCTAATTCGTAATGTGCAGAGAGCTGTGCTCTGCTCTGCTTCCCTAACTGCATTTTCGTTTAGATACAAGCCATGGTTTCAGGTTTCACAGTTATGTTGCTTGGGAGCTGCTCAAAGTGAGCAGGTAAACGTAAAACACTGCTGAAGCTCAGTGCTTTTGCTTATGCTGTTGACAGACATACTGTGACAACAGAGACACAAAGTTCATTTGCAACACTGCTCATGCAAAACAAAGACCATAGAAAGTTTGTGATTATTGATCTCCTTGAGTCTAGATTCCACTTTTAGAAATGACAGGGTAAAATCTTTTATTAATTTTCTTTTCTTTTCTTCTCCTCATTTCTCCTGATTCTCCTTCCAGTTAGATGATAAATCTCTCTTTTTCATCTTTGCACAAAAGAAATTACCTCCAAAAAAAAAAATGGTGCATGAAGGGAAAAGGGGAAAATGGAGACCTAATTCGCCATCCTTTTTAAGATCACTTTCCTGATGGTTGCTCATACACCATGAGAAACATGATCAAAGCAGATGGAGAATTTGTCCTCTTTTAAGCAGAACTTCTTATTGATCTCAATTGGAAAATCATGTTTCCAGAACAGATGAAAAGACTACTTATGGGTGTTAACACCTATTCAATGCCTTATATTCTCAAAATGTCATAGAGTTGACATATTAAGTCCGAGACATGATACCTGGTAGGTGATTTTTCCCATTCTATGTATGTAGAAACAAACAGATGAAGGAAAATGAAAGCAAGAGTCTACATTTAAGAATCTACATTTAAAGTTGACAGCTGAAAAATATTAAGCATAAGTAATAGTCTTACTCCCAAAGGAAAGACCACAGGTTTCATCCAAAGTACTTCAGTATGTAAAGTTTGCAGGACTGAGCCTTATTGTGTCTAAATATGAGGTTAGATATTTGTAAAGCTTCATCTGGGCAGTGCCGACTGGCATAAGTGATTTCAAACTACAGATGTGCAATCCTACACAGAAGCCTATCCTTATGTAAAGGGGAACACAAAAAATTAATTCTCAATTGAACTACAGTTGCAACTTTTCATTGTCTGATAAAAAGCTTTAATGAT